GTGGATGCTTGGCCTATATATTCTTTAGGCTATTAAGCCCACTGACTTCTTTATTTTTAGGCCTATTTTTGTGTGAAATGCCATTGCCAAACTTGTCTGTTGTTGCCTATATGTTGTTTTAAAAAAAATACTTTATGTTCTGAGTGACCATGTTGCCGTTGCTCATATTTCTTTATGATATAAGGCTTCGGTTTAAGGTGACATTTATTAGGCATGCAGATTATTTGTCCCTATTTTAAATTGGAGCGATTTGACTGGAGCGGGAGGAAATTGTTGTGGAGCAAGGAGCGGTGTTGAGTGGAGCGGCTTAGTGCAAACTCGAGCGGAGGAGCGGGCGGATCCAACAGCCTTATGAGCGAGAAGCGGAAATTCTCACCGCTCCACTCCGCTCACATGCTCTGGTCGTAATAATACTGATAACCACAATCATATTGGTTGCTATATTTATATTAACTATTCATACCGTTTCATATCTAGTAGAGATGCACCGATCCAATATTCGGATCGCTATCAGCGTCGATCCAGACCTATTTGATGGATCGGGTATCGGCCATGCGTGACCGATCCACGTCCTATAGTTACTTATTTTGTTTTTGGCAATCTCTAAAAAGATAGCTCCTATTTTCGTGTTAAACTCTTCATAGTACGAGGAGCGTAAGATAAGACGTGACGATCTGGAAGTATTTTATGCTTTTAACAAAAACCAGTAGCACAGCGATTTACAACATTTGTAAAATAAAGTTTTGAGAGGTGGGAATAGCGTTTAATGAACAATCCCACTTAAAGCACACGCAACTGCGAGACAAAAAAAAGCAATGGATGATTTGGGAGTCGCTAACCTGGACTGTCTTGCAAACTCGCTGCAGCTTGTGATACAAGAGGGGCTGCCATCGCAACGAAGTGTAACTGAGCTCACGCCAATGGGATAAAAATTATGTAAAAATTCTAACCATTCGCCACTTGTGTATACTTGCTTTGAAGATATTCATATTGAACTGCAAATGCCTCAAAAACGCTTAAAACAAGACGTACAAACGAGGTGGAACAGTACATTATGTATGTTTGTAGTAGCCTAGCTAAATATATTTTGTCATACATTTTTCCATCTGTATCTTCTAGCTTAAGAAAAATTACATAAAGTATAACAAAGTAAAAAGAGCTCTTGTATCTGAATCTGTATCGGTATCAGCAGTTGTGTATCAGAATCGGATCGGAACTGAAAAAATGTGGATCGGCCCATCCCTAATAGTCCCAATAAGTGTCAACAGGCAACTCCCCACATGTCAAATGGACTACAGTTTTCCTTGACAAAAATATTCCAGGAACATTCTTTGTAAAGAACTGCTTATCTGATCTGCTCAGTCTCCTTCATCGTGTAAACACCCCAACACCAAACTCTGAAACGCTAGCTCATATTTAACCCCCCACCCACCGTCAATGTAGAAATAGAACTAACAGCACCATTGTTAACCTGACACTGAAGAGGACTGAAATGCCCGTTAGTTTGGCCTCTTAAAATAAACCCATATTCCCGTTACACCTGACCATGTACGGCGCCCCCCCCCCCCCATAACAGATCCACATAACAGGCCTACCAAGCCCCAGTCCAGCTGTAAAGAAATACGCTCCCTATAGGAAAACTGCTTCCGTGACAAACTTCACTCGATGACCATGAAAAGGAAGTATCATTTTATGGCTTATTTTGCTACAGGGCAAAGAAAAGCTAAAACGACAGGCTTCAACAGCCGGGCACCGGAACAGGCATTTGTATCTAGACACAGGAGAGTGGAATATTGAAGCCAAGCATCTTTTGACTAACAAGGAGGTTAGGAAGACTTGGCAAAGGGGAAGACAAAGGAGCAGTGATCACTCTTGAGGACATGGAAATTGTCCTAGTTTAAACACCAGCAGGAACACCAAATGCAAGGGAAGTTTCCGACATACCACTTGTGTTAAAACTCAGAAACAAACCCCAGACCAGAGGGCTGTTTGCATAACCCCACTCAATATTGTCCCTGACTCGTTTTTCAACCCCCCCCCAACCACCAACTGTTCCCGTGCTTCCCCCAAAAATGTCTATCGACAGCTGCTGCAGCATGGGGCGCTAGCAGGCTAATTTAGCCATGGAGCAGAAAAGCAGACTGGCATGGAGGGGGAAGGCTGGTATCACGGAAGTCCCACGGCACATATAAACTCCATTCAGAATAACAAAGCAGCACTTCCACAGTAGACATGTTTACAGACTGCCTTTTGTCCTTACAGCAAAGCCAAGCTCTAAACAAGAAAAACAAAAAGGAACTATGGCAAGAACTCCGAAACATCCTCCCGGCCGGCAGTTAAGTACTTCTTCCAAGAACGGTTAAAGAGAGCTTTTCTGCTTCACATTATAGCTATAACAGAGCAGACCAATACATGCATTGCAGGCGGTGCCCAGGTTAAGAATGCAACTTACAGACAGCATGTACTTACAAACGGGATGCCATAAAGCCTATAATACTAAATATTCTGCTTAAATACAATTGTTCGTAATACCAAATGCATTCAGTACTTTGTGACACACAAACATTGCAGTTTCAGCGATACATCGGCTCAAGGCAGAGTACAGTACATGTAGTTACTTTTTAACCATTGTCTAATTATCATTACAAATTCTATTATTTTTCTGACTTACCTACAAATTCAAATTTTAAAGACAGGCTTAGGGGATGGACCACGTTTGCAACCTGGGGACTGCCTGACTCAACCTTCTAAAAATAGCATATGTGAATTAAGAAATCAGAAGATAACTCCATGTTCTCCAGTTGAAGAATACATCATTAAAATATTATACGGCGATATGATTAGAAGACATCAGCATGAATCCATGTCAGAGACCATTATAAACACAAATATTCACATTGTGCACTACAGCAGCATTTAGCAAGATTTTAAATAGCTTAGTGTCTAAAAACAAATCATGCACTGATTCACGCTCCACTAAATGTTTCAAACAGAACCATGTGCTTCAAAGCTGCCATTGATTGACATTTCACTCAGTCCCCCAATATTAGACTTAAAAGCCCATCCACAGTGGCTCCAGATGACTTTCACCCCCAACTATTGTGTTTTTTTAGCCTAGATCAGCAATCGATTAGCAACTCAACTCCAAGCCACAAATATCGAAAGCTAAGCGTAGCCTACCTGTGTAAATAATGGATCTTAGGACATTAAGGAGAAGTATTAGATTACAGCTGCTAAACGACTAAGCTCTGCCAAAATTCATTGTCATGTACAATTCCTTAACTTCACTTTGGTATGAATGTAGACCTAATGACATCAGATTCGCTTGAGGGTTATTAAAATTAGCCTTTTCTCATCCTGTCACCAAGTCACTGTCAGTTCCATGCCCCAAAGATCACGCCTTTGCCTAAGACAAGGATTCATTGGAAACCAAGGATCAGAAAGCATCAAACTTTCCTCCTTCGTGACATTTGGGAAAATGACATAACCAAATGTGTCCATGTAGCTTGTTTACGAAATACATCTTGTAGAATTCAGAAGAACAAAAAAGAATGACTGTATGGCACTGGAAATAAAGGATCTATATCCAGGATAATTGCTTATTTAATAATAAAAAAGCTCCTTTTTTAATCCACACACACTCTCAGTGAAAGATAGGTGGATTCTGACGCCCCATTGTGAACCACATCTGTGGCACAAGTGTGGGGAGCAGAAACAAACAAACACAGCAAGATACTCCCAGAGGACACAAACAAAACAAGATACCCACAACCGCATACAAATTTACATTAAAGATCAAACGCACACTGATGATTTATTGCCATTCATCACCCAACAAAACCAATTCATTAAAATCAATATGATCAATATATTGCACTTACATAATATAATTATTTGTCACCTGTGTTGTTCAGTTAGTTCAGGTATAGCCATTTGTTTTCTGTGAAAAGTTGTGTTAAATATCTATTCAGCTACATTAGGAGCAAATCTTTTGGATTAACCATAAGTATACGCTTAACAATATGAAGAATTCTAAATGCCTGGCTTGTGAAATTTGGCAGAGGAGGAATGTTACATGGTCAAAATCTATCAGTTGGGGCACCAGACAGATTATGACTTAGTTGAATCTTTCAGATAATTTAAAAGTTGCCAATATTTCTCCAAGACATCAAAGGGGACCTTCCCATCATGTAAAAGCCAAAATGCACCCCGTTTAAACAAGACAGAGAAGCTTCTGTCCTGAATTCCTTTGGAGTCCCGCAGGACCTGCGAGATTTATGAATTTCCGCGCGTCGAGTGCAGGCCGGCTCACCCAACGTATTTACACACAATGACCTCCGGGTCGGCGCGCTTGCACCGGTCACGTAAACAAATCTAGCAAATTAATTAATCACGGGCAAACGTGACTACCCTACAGAGCTCGGATTTCACTGCGCAATTAGAGCACGCCACACGGTTATGGTCAATTTGCAGCCTAAAAGCGATGCAGAAAAACACACACAAAACAAACGTTTAAATAATACATCACGCCGGGTAAAAGAAGAAACGCATACAAGGGATCTCTCAGTACTTCAGTTTTACTTGTGCAGCCTGAAAATTTTATATTTCTACCTGTTTATCCGATTGTAGTATTTATACTAGAACAGACGCATAATAAATCTGCTACTAAATTATTTATTTATTGCCCCTTTTAAATCATTTATTTTTTTAGGCCATTGTTATACACATTAAATCTCAGTAATGGCACAGGCATTGCATTTACTGTGAGATCATAGCAGTCTTTCCCCCCTCTTCATTATAAAAAACAATTGTAGCAAAACCTACTTGATGTGAACATAAACACACTGTCTCTTTAAATCCCTGCACTCTCAAACAGCCCATCCCCCTCTCCCCACATTGCCCCCACCCGCTTTTCCCCCCATGGCACAGCACTCCATCACAGCAAAACGCAAAAAAAAGGGAAGCATTACGGTGAAGTAGCTACAATACGCCATACCTACCGTACCCTCCCGGGGAACACCGAAGACCCTTCTCACTATAGCTCTCTTCATGAAGCCATGTGACCAAATCACTCACGATCCCTGTCGATTTAGCCATTGGGTAATCGTAGGAATCCTGCTACAACAGCATGTCCCCCCCCCCTCCACCAAAAACACGTCGTCTTACACGCATAGACGGCGGACGCCCAATCCGCCATGTGCGCGGAATCGTGGGCGAAAGGCGACCGGTGGCCCAGGGGAAGGGCTGGCACCGTCGCAGCCCAGTAAAGTCCAGTTGCGGTCGACTGAACCGCAGCAAACAAAGACATTTGTCTGAAGGGAAAGCCACAAAACAATCATGCACACAGGAGAAAACAGTATTAGCCTGGGATTTAGAAACACCCATTGCCTGGAAGGACAAAGACCTGTCACACCATGTGACAGCATGTGCAGTTTTCAAAATAAACAATATTAACAAGGTATCTGTTACCACTCCAAGCAGGACTTAAACTTCCCTCACAAGTATGCTCTGTCATAGTCATCACAGAGGCCAGAATTGTGAAGGGGCTGGTGAAACTGTGCAATATTTTACTATTTAGGGTGTTTTAACTTTGCATATTGGCTTGGACTGTATAGAAGACATTTATATACTGCTGCAAATGAACAGTATTACATCAGAAACAATAATACAAATAGTTTTCTGAATTTTGAGAAAAAATGTTCCCGGTGGCATTGTTCTGTGTAACATCCTGATCCTACCCAATACCTCTTGAGCAAATTTAATTAAACTCAATTCCCCAAGCAAAAGTATGTCAAGCTTGATTTGACTGTTCAGTAGATGACACCTGAAAGTTACATTTAGAGCTGTCACGATTACGCGGTTATTAAAAAACGTCAATTAAGATTTTCCCTCTCGATTACTTGGCAATATGGTGGAAGGAAGAGAGCACAAAGGGGAAGAAGGTGCGAATAAGAGCAGAAGTAGCTGTTGTGCGGAAGCATTTCACATCAAAAGTGAATGGAAATGCAGTCCGTCAGTATCAGGGAGCGGAACTTAAATATCACTACAAATACATGGAGAAGATGACATTC